TGATGCTTAAAGCTGTACATGCACTTACTTTGTTATATGAATCATAATAAAATCCACAAAACTGGGGCCTTAGGATCTATTTACCCTTTATCGCCACCTACGCATGCATTCAGATTGTTTTGTAAAAAAAAAATAAATAAAAAAAAAAAGGGGGGGGGAAAAATCCTAGACTTTCCATTTTGAGCAATAACTAGAGCTAACATGTTTTCTATTCATCAAAACCATGTCAGATTTCCTAAAATAGAATAGAAACCAAAAAAAAAATAGAATCAGGGAAAAAAAATCAAGCCTGCTTGTTTCCTCCTATTGTTTATTTCTTGATAAGGCATGGGGGAAGGATAATGCTCCTGTTCTATTTATCTCAGAAAGAGTGGAGTTGACAAGAACAATAAATGAGACTCTTGGTTGTTTTCCAGAACTAGGTTTTCTCCTGTGAAGTTGTGGCAGATTTCAGCACCCTCTCGTGGTGAAGATTTAAACACCCGACTCTCAAAGTCTGCCATAGAATCGCATCTGAGCTGTTCTTTGTTACATTTTGCCTTTTTCCAAACCTCCCATCTTCCCCAGTCTGTTGTTGAAATCAGAATCTGGCACTAATGTGCTTTTCTCATAGTTCCTGTGTTCAGATGAGTCGAACCTGACTTTTTTTTTTTAACCTTTAACTCTCAAGGATAAAGAGAAGTCAGTAACAGACCAAAGGCGGTACTCCCTGATCGACCCGTCATCGGACTCGGAGGTTATCCGGCTGCAGCACCGGCTGGTCAGCACTGAGGACGTCCTGAGGAACGCGTTGGAGCAGGGGCACCAGATGGAGAAGCTCGTGGAGGCCATGAGAATTTCTTCTGAGAAGACGCAGGTAGAGCACTTCCTCCTGCACTCGCATGATGGGCTCTTGCACCATCCATGGCTATAAAATGGTGCTGTAGGAAGGCAGCACAATTCCCTCTGACATGCATCACAGAGGCACTGCATGGCTAGAGATGCTGTCCTTCAAATGAGGCTTAAAGCCAACCCAGTGACCATCTGTGGGGTGTTAAAGACCCCACAGCACTCATTGCAAGAGCAGGTTTTAACCCCGGTGTCCTGAGCCCAATGACAACATAAGCAATTAGAGTTTACCTATTTAAATTTCCACTGCAATGAGAATAATATAGGTAAGCTTAATTGTCTTCCCTATGCTGTAAATTTGGAGCTGCTGGAGGATTTTTAAATCTCTACAATGACTCGCCCCAGAGATGTCTGCATTTCATTGCCTCAGATGGGAGCAAAGGTGTTTGTGTTACATCTGTGTACACTTATACAATATACACCGAGTATATAGAGAAGAGAAGAATGGCCTAACAACCGGTTCTTTTCTAGGACTGCCATAAGTAGGTTTTCAATTGGCCTAATGCTGGGACAAACGCTTGCTTTTCTTGTATTATATTTGATATTGGTTTCAGTGCAGCCTGGGTAGCTGGAAGGCTCAGGCTGTCTTTCACCATTGTCAATGTCCTTTAAAATGATAAAGGGAAAGGGAAAATTGCAGCTTGGTCTCATCCCTCCTCTGTTCTCCTCAGACTTCACCCCCTTGCAGTCTGTTTGTCCAAGCTTCTTGTCCTTCCTGTGAGTGTTTTCTCCTGCTCTTTTGCCAGTTCCCTCTCAGTTCTTGGTCTGGACTTCATTTGGGTGTTTTGTCAGACTTCAAATGCCCCGTGTCTCCAGTACCTGCCATAGTGTCCTCATGGTTGCCTCCAGCACATCCCTTGACTTCCCTGGGAAAATTTAGAACCGCTCCTAGCATCTGTCTTGCAGCTGCCTCTGAGAAAGTGGAGGCTGCGAGTGAGTTTAATTTATTTTAGCATGCTGAGTCTCTCCTGTCCTTTACCCATATCTCTGAGAGCCTTCCAGTTCTTTCGAGGAACTGTGAAGTGTCCTCTTCTTCACATTAAGCCCTTGTTTCATCTCTCTTGCTTTCCTTACTGTAGTTTTTTCTCAAGTCTCCAATCTCTTTGCATCTCATAAATGCAGTACCATGTGCTCCTGTGATTGTTTCCTCCCCTAAGTTTTTTTTTTTTTTTGTTCCAAAAACATGTCTCTCTTGCAGCAAGCATATGCTGCAGATAACTCACCTTCAGGTGGTTGCTTAATACTGTGTGGTATGATGTAACAAGCCATGAGGCCCAGAGCCTAGCTGGGGCGATTCCTTCATCCTTTTCCATACTGTACTGTTACAAGACCTAACACATGATGGGAGGTCATCTGGACCTATGCATATCCTGCATCTCTCCATAAGAGCAGAACAAAATCTTCTAATGAGAGGAATGGAGGGTGAAGGGAGAGGGATAGCTTGTTCCCTAAATTTTTCTTTGTGTTTGAAATTTGTGGTTGAGTCATGTTTTGAAGCCCCAGTGAAGGAGCAGAGAGCGAGGCACTGTAAAAAAACAAAACAAAAAATAGTCCCTTCCCTGAAGATCTCACCATCTTAAGCTGACAGCACAAGATTGAGTTCAGCTGATTTTTGCTGGATCCAAAAATGCAATAAAAGGAGCTGCCTGCTGGGTGACTCGGAGCCCTGGCTTTTTGTTCTGCACCTTGTGGCATGGCTGTAGTTATGACAGGTGTGCTGGGGTCTGTGGCATAATGCAGTCCTGGAGGAGCATCTAATGATGCATAAACTTTCCCTGGAATTGGTGTGCGTGTGATTTGTGTGTATTATGATGGACTCTACTGCGCTTTGGTAGAGAAGGGGGTATTGCCTCAGGAGCTAATACTTAGCTTTGCTGTGATAAAATGTGAAAAGAAAGACTGCTGCTTCTCCAGAGGTGGTTCAAAAATAAGTCACTCCTTTCCTGAAAGGACAAAGCACTGCATTTCTGCATGTGGGCTGAGTGAGAGCACTTTTCCACAGTGCAGAACTGAGACCCAAAGGGATGAGGGACCAGATTTTTAATGGTATTGAAGCTTCCAGCTCCCATGGATTTCAATAGCTTGCTCAGGGTCAGAAAGGGACTCTGTAGTGGGGGCAAGGTTCAATTCCAAACCTGCAGTGCTTCAGCATGGTGTCCCAGTTGCACACCCGTTCTTCCTCTTCCTGAGGGAGGGAAGTCAATGGGCACTTGCTTATATAGGACCTTCAGGATGAGGATTTTGGCCCCTTAAAAGGAGACTTGTTCTAGTCAATAAACCAGTGGGCACATTACGATACAATCTGGAGCTTCTCTTGAAGACAATGTTCAGAGCAAGCCCATTCTTCCCAGTTTTTCTGCCTTGTAGGCAGTACCAGACTCCTCTTCCCCCCTCAGACAGCAACCACCATTGCATAGGGAGCTGCTCGGTGCCCTTTTCCCATTGTCCCCCAAGCCTTTCCTCTGTCATCTTCGAAAGAAGGACATTTCTAATTACACTGTTTGCTGCTGCTCTCCCCTTAAGGGTCTTATCAGCCAGCATGCTCTGGGTTCCCTGGATATGCATGGCTGGCCTCACTGTTAGTTAAAGACTTACAGGAGCTGAGGCCTAATAGTGCTATCTGTCTCTGTCAAGTAATTGGCACTTCCCTGTTGCTGTGGCTGTGACTACAGCTGTGCGAGGTATTAGCTCAGTAATAAAAAAATTTTAAAAAAATCTCCACGTCTGCCATGTCTTTGGAGACGCTGATCTCACAGACTTGCAGGAAATGACAAGGATTTGGCACTTGCACTTGTTCTCAAAGAAGTTGTAATAATTGCTCTGGGAGATTTTATTTAGTTTCTAGCAAATTATGCCACAGTTTACTCATTCCCCGTGACCTTGTACTCAGCAGAGTTCGAGTCAAATTTCTAGCATCTGATGACTCTCCAGGCACAGCCATGGTGACTTCTGCAGTGTGGAAGATGCAGTGTATTGTAGAAAATTGGAATGGCTAGGAAATGCAGGGCTGAAACACCCCGGGACCAAGCTGCTGCTCTGAGATGATGTGTTACCATATGAGAGGTAATGCCCAGCCAGCCAGGATGCATTGCTGAGCAAATATTCCCTTTTAACAAAAAAACCCCCAAGGCTCAGCCCTAGATGTCTAAGGTCCAGGCTTCCCAAATTTAAATGCAAATTTATGTCCTCTGTGTGCTAGGCCTATACTAAAAGGCTTGGTAACCATCAATCAGTTGTGCTGAGATTAGAAGCTGGGGTGTAGATGGAGCTCCCTGTTACATAACATGGTAGGGAAGGTACAGAATTGGCTATACCTTCCACCATCACTGGTCTCAGCGATTCACCCTTGCTAAACTGAACAGCGGTGAATGCAGTAAGTGTAGATGGGGACCCTGGCATGTCACCATTCTGCACTTCGGTGGCTGCCTTACCTCACTGCTTGCTGGTGATATTGCTGTTGCAGAACTTGAAGGACTCCGTACTATCACCACTAGAGGAAATGTATCAACGTTAGCTGCCAACATGAATTATCTTGGCAAGAAGAAAGTGGTTTCTGCTCTGGGGATCTGGCCATGACAAAGTCAGGAGCCACTTGCCAGGAGTGCCAGGGCTTTTATGTTCTCATTTCCAAGTACAAAGCAACCGTAGTGAACACTAAATCCATTCTGGGGGACTAGCTCGCTCTCTGGAGGTTGCTGCTTGTGGGGAAGTATCGGGGTTTGATGCTTTCTGCCTTCAGTCAAGTTTCCCCTGTTCTCTGTTACAGACCATTGGGAACGCTGCCTCTGCTAATGGGATCCATCAGCAGGATAAGTCCCACAAGCAAGAAGTAGGTTATGCAGTGCCATTAAAATATATCTGTACCTCTCCGTGCACTATCTATTCTGTAGGGCCCCCCACAGTGCTGGTTTCAGGTCTTGGGCTGCGGATACCCATGGGAGCAGAGCTTGTCCATCCTGTTGCACAGTGAGAACAATGAGCTTCGCATAACACTTCTCCCCAAGCATGGGTGAAGCACTTCCCTCCAGCAACTGCAGCTACAGCTGAGCCTGGCCAGGAGGTGAAAGTACAGGTGTCAGCTGTGACTGGAGATGTGGCTCACCATGACCCTGGAGCCTCTGCTTACCTTGCAAATGAAAAAGGAATAGAGAAAGGAATTAGTCATTTCTGCAGGGTTTTGGGTTACTGATTGGGGAGGAGTGGGGGGATGACTCCAGATGAGCATTCATATCTCTTTCTCTCTTTCTCTCTCGTTCTCTTCCCCCCTGCATTTGAGCATGAGTTAGACCCTTCTCTAGTTAATTGGTTCTCTCCCCCTTCCCCTATGAAGCCTGTGGTGTGGTTCAGGGTATGCACTGTCCCGGTGACACTCGCCCTCCTACCCTCTCGTGTTTTCTCAGTGCTTGGTCTCTGAATTTTGTTTCCGCCCAGGTACCTCAGTCAGGCTGGGAGGCAGGAGGCAGTGTGGTCTAGTGTCCAGAGCTCTGGCCTGGGATCTGTAGGATTCTAATTCCATCTCTGCCACTGGCCTGGAGGGTGACCAGGTCATTTCACTGCTCGGTGCCTTGGCTTCACAAGGAGAGGGATACCAGAGGTGCTTTGAGATCTTACTAGTGAAAAGAACCTAAGAGTCATTAGTTTAGATCATGGCTGTTCTCCCTTGGTTGTAGATAAATTGCAGCAGAGTGATCAATCCCTCCATTTCCCGCTCCCTCCTTGAGGCAAAACAGCTTGTGAGTTTCCCAGAGAGTATTATAATACCCCTGACCTCTCCTGATCACTTTCTCCTCTAACACAATCTCCTTTCTTCCAGGAGAAGCTCTGATAGAGAAGGGGGCGGAGAGGACCATTTCATGCCAGTATCAGCACCTGTGCACGGACAGGACGAGGGATGCCACATCTGGCTTGAGCACCTCCTAAGGACCAGTCACAGTATTTTTACTTTACAGACAGGACAGTGTTTATAATGTACTAACTGACTGAAGTAGGACAATCCCCTGATCCAAATTTTCCAAGATGAGCATCATTCCAGAACGGGGCATGGGGATGTCCCTGTGTAAAGGTACCTTTGTTTTGGTTTCTTATGGTTTGGACTGTGGAATCGGCATTGGCCAAAGGAGACCAGTGCTGTTAGTCCCACCTGGATGGCATGGCCTGGATGACAGCTGACTGACATGGTGGCTGGAACATCATTGGTGACTCCTTGTAACCCCAGAGGAACACTGAAGGGATTTGCTTGTGACACTAAGAAACTGCTGAGCATACTGCCACAGGCTGCACGCACGCCAGTTGTCTCTCTCCACCTCTTCCATCCACCCCCATGTTCTCAAGAACTACACAGGTGAGGGAAAACCCCAGGGCTGAGTCCACTCCCACTGAAGAAAAAGAGCTAGTGAGGAACACTGCTGCCTCTCCTGCATGGAAGATGCTTTGACTCCAGACCATAGAGACTCTGCTTTATTTTTCCTGATGGTGTGTCGTGTTCAACCTGATTTGAAGAGACACTGAATTCAGTCCAAGTCACTAGCTGCTGTCTAGGAGTTGGTGTTTATGAGGGGAGAGTGCCTCTGTCAGCTTTGCTTAGTCTATCTCTGCACTGAGAGGTCCCTTAGCAGGACTGGCTGGGCCAGAGCCCAGAGGTGGGAGCACAGTGGTACATGGGTGTGTTGGGTGCTCTTTTAGATGTGCAATGCAAAGCTTCCTTCTCCCTGGCAAGCAGCAACTTTGATTCAGACTCCTGAACTGCATGGCAGGTAGATGTGCAATGCAAAGCTTCGTTCTCCCTGGCAAGCAGCAACTTGATTCAGACTCCTGAACTGCATGGCAGGC